CCTGGGGCATCACCCAGCCCCACTTGCTGCACCTCACTGTTACCAGCACATGCTCCCCAAAAAATTGAGGCTGATTTCTGGGAAATAGCTTTGGAGAAGAGCAAATGGAGGGACACGTGCATCGTGGAGGTGGCCCTTGTTCCCGTCAGGGCAGGTCTCTGCCTGGACCAGCACCCCATGCCCTCCCCAGCCAGGTCTCCGTGACAGGGCTGCACTGCAGCCAAGGGTGGCCAAAATGCTGGCAGGGTGCCATCAGTGGCCCCAGTCCTGGCTGGCACAGTTGGCCTGATGGGGATGTGCGTTTGCATCTCCCCGCTGCATCCCACCAACCGCCAGCTGCCGGCAGCTGGGATGCGTCCCCGGAATTTGCGGGGGCTTGGGGGAGAGGGGGCTTTTTGGACAGCTGCGGATAGTTGGGAAAGCCCCAAATTGATCTCTGCCTTTCCCAGCTCAGCACGGCCAAGAACATGAGGTGTTGCTTCAGTGCTGGGGGACGGAAGTGGAGCCACCCGGTTGGCCTCTCCTGACCCTGACGGGCCCCATCACTCCCCAAACAAGCACAGAGCTGTGTACATGCCTGGTGCAACCAGACAGAAGTTGTTTATGACTTTTTTTAGGAGGAAAGGGGGTATTTGGCCATTTGTCATCTGGGCCAGGATGCAAAGCGATAGGATGCAAATCTTTTCAGTGCAAGGTGCTGAGCCTGGCTGTGGTCTCATCCAAGGGAGATCCCCAGACTCTCTCACCTGCCCTGGGGCTCCTGCCCTGGGGTACACAGCCTGCCTGGGGGATTGGGTGCGGAGCCAAACTTTGGGAGCAACCTGGCCACCAGCCCTAACGCTGGAGGCAGGAGCTCGGGAAAAATCCTAAGCCCATCAGAGGCCAAAAGCACAGTCCAGGTGCACATTTTTCCCTTCCTGGGGCTGTGCGGGGAGGGGATGAGTATTGCTCACCATCTGTGCTTTGGGACATGGCAGGGGACCAGGTCCACCTCCTGTTCGAACAACCACTGACCCTAGGGGAAGCCCCGCTGCTCTCCCATAAAAGCAGCGCAGCAGCCCTGACCCTGGCAAACTGCAGCTCTGCCCTGGTGCTGCAGAGCAGCCCTCCCAGAGCCCGGCATGGCGATGGCAACCAGGCTGGTCTGCGCCCTCCTTCTCCTCCTCCTCGCCGCACTGTGCCGCCAGAGCCTGGCCCAGAGTAAGCACTGCTGCCCGCTCTGTCCCCGTGGGCTGGGGGCTGGGGACAGCCCCCAGGGCTGTGGGGATGGGTTTGCTTCGTGCTTGGGGCGCAGGGGGACTCCCCACAAAGAGCCGCCATTCCCGCGGCAGGAGGGCTGAGATGGGATGTGGGGGTCTCCAGGCTAAGCCAAGCTTGCGCTGTCCCCCCCCAGGAGCCCCAGCTGTGCCGGACAAGTGCTGCTTCAACTTCCAGATGAAAAGGATCAAGAGAGACAACATCGTCGACTGCTACCTCACCAGCCCCGAGTGCCCGCACCAGGCTGTGATGTGAGTACCCTAAACCCAGCCCTGGGGGTAAAGCTCCTCTAGAGCCTGCCAGACACCATGCCTTGCTTTCGTGGGTCCAATCCTGATGCTCCGAGCCCCTCGGAAACTCAGTGCCAGGGTTCCCGGACCATCGCCCTCCTAACCCCGTCTTTTCTCTGCCTCAGCTTCAGACTGAAGAGCGGGAAGGAGATCTGCACCCAGGCGAGCAAGGCCTGGGTGAAGAGGTACCAGCAGCGTTTTCAAGTCAGCTCCTTCTCCATCCCCAGCTAGTGGGGCAGCCAGAGGCAGCACGGGGAGTCCCCTCCACAGCGAACACGATACCGCAACGATGACCCCTTTGTAGACACAGCTGAAGGGACACCGCGTTTAGATATAGCAGCTCATCAGGGACATCCTCCCCATCACTCTGTGATGATCCTCACCACCTCCCTGAAGGCAAAGGGCCTTTGCCAGCCCCGGCATCCCACTGGGATGGGGTGTGCCAACCCCGTGGGGTGCTGGGGTCCATGCTTGCTGCCCGCACCCATGCTCTCAGCCCTGCTTTGCATGCAGGCAGCTGCCTGTACCCCTCGCAGGCAGCAGCAGCAGCATGTCAGTGAGGCTGCGCTCACCGGCCTGGCAGCAGCAGAGGGGTTAACGGGGAGCAGGTCTGTGGTTATTTTTTGTACAAGACACTGAATAGAATTAAACATGATCTCACATATGCAAACATCTGGCTGTGCAAGTGTCTTGAGTGTGGGCAGATCCTACTGCTGGCTTTCCTACCTGGATGTTAAACCACATCTGTAAGTGCTGGGGTCAGTAAGGAGCTGGGAAGAGCCGAAGCCCCAACCATGTCTCTGCGAGGGGGTCTGGGGTGTGCATGGGGCCAAAACACATCCATATGGGCTTTGGGGAAGGCGTCGGTGAGAGGGGCAAGAAGCAGGCACAGCCCATGAGGGGGGGACTTCCCATGCTCCTTGTCAGCCATCCTAATGAGTGGAGACCCCGACCCAAATCCCATCAGAGCTGTCCCTCGGGGACGTCTGGTCAGGTCCCACTGACAGCCCACGCTCCTGGGATGCCACGAGATGTGATGGGCACTGCCACTGTGACAGGCACTGTGATGGGCACAGCCACTGCGATGGGCAGCCAGCCATGAGTCTCAGGATGGGCTGGGGTGAGCCTGGCCACCTCCAGGCCACTCACCTAGGCGCAAAATTGCAAAAGAGGCATCGCAGCTGAGCTGACAATGGGTGGTTTTTGAAAATAAACTTGCACAGGGCTTTGGCAAGCGCAAGCATCATCCTGTGTGGTTTGCTGGCGGCAACAACCAAACCCAAAATAGACTGTCGGCCCCAGTGCATCACCAGTGGCGCAGAGCTGCCGGCTGCTCGCCACACTTTCCAGCAGCCCTCGTGTACCACAGGGGCCAGAGGGGCCAGGAGAAGGAATTTCCATTCATCAGTTGCCCTTTATCAACATCTCTGGGCGGTTCTTTCCCCAGGGAGAGTCCAGAGCTGTCATGGAAAGCCTGGCCAGGGGGTATATCATGCTGAGGTGTAGGGAGGAGAGACAGGTAGCTCTCGGTGGCCCCAAGTCAGCAAGAGCTGCCAACTGCTGGCGCTGACCGAGCCCTGAGTTGAACATGAAGGTCTTCTCCTTGGCCCTGCTCACCCTGCTGCTGATGGCTGTCTGGACTGGAAGCCAGGGCATGTCCTGTAAGTACTGACATTGAGCCTTTCCCCACAGCTGCCCCAGCACCATCCACAGCTCCTCCACTGATGGGGTTTTGGTAGGTTGGGGAGGGGGATGAGAGCTTCAACTCTTGCTACTGCCGTGGGTTTGGGGGGCTGAGGGGCATTGCCAGCTGCTTGAACACAGGACTGTTCTGGTCTTATTCAAAATGAGCAAAAATAGGCTTGGGGATGGCTTCAGCCCAAGCACCCCAGCTGGGGAGCTCAGTAATAACCTCCTGCAGGCAGGAAAACGGGGGGCTCCTATTCTGGGGCAAAGCAGCACCAATGGGCATGTGAGAGGGGACTCCTTGTAGCGGGAGGGAGCAGGAGAGTCCCCAGGGGAGCACCCACACCCCTTGGGGGAGCACCCAAGCTGTGGGAGAGCTCCAACTCCTCTTGTCTCCCTTCAGTCCGCAGCTCCTATGGCACATGCTGCTACAAAGAGATGTTTGTCTCCAAGAAAATCCCTGACAAGCTCATCAGGAGCTACCAGGAGACGCCTTCCCACTGCTCTCGCAAGGCCATGCGGTGAGTACCTCAGCCCCAACCAAGCCTTCCTTCCTGGCACCCCACTCCTCATCCTCACTCGCCCATGTTCCCTACCAGTTGTTCTGCCTTTGGGGATCCCCCAAAACAAGCCACCCCCAAAGGGTGCTGTGGATGGGGGTGCCCTGCCCTGGCTCTTCACATGCACCTCCTCCCTAAAGGATATTTGCTTTATCCCAAATAGCCCCAAAATCCCCTGTTTCAGTTGCCAGCTAGAAAAATGGGAAGGAAACCAGGGTTTCAGAGATTGCTACAAGTCACCACTTTTGAGGGAAGTGGGGGGCTGGATGCTGCAGGCATCCCCAGGCTGGTGGGGGAACTCCAGGGCACTGCCAGATCCTGCGCCCCCCCAGCTAATGCAGCCTCTCTCTCCCTGCCAGTGTGGAGCTGCTGAAGGGGAGGAAATTCTGCGTGGACCCGGAGGCAGAATGGTTCCAGCAGTACCTGCGGGAGAAGGAGTCATCCAGAACCTCCACCTGAAACTGCTTTCCATATAAGCTCTATTTATTTGCATCCCATAATTATCTGTATGTTCACATCTCGTTAAGTTATGGAGCCAGCTCTGTCCCCTCCCCTGCCGTCACCCCCTCCACACTACTGTACATCCCTCCAGGGTTTAATAAAACATCTCATACTGACCCGCAGCTGGAGTGAGACGATGTAAATCCTGCGGCATAAAACAGGGGTCACATCAGGGCTCAGCATCCCTGCGGGGACCCCGGAATAGTCCAGGAGCCCCTGGGAGGGCAAGGAAACCCAAAGGGACAAGGCTGATGCCCCCAGCTCCTCCCCAAGAGGAAACAGCTCCTGCCCAGGGGTGGGGTTTAGGGATTCCCTGAGCAGCTGCTCTCCTGGTGGGATGTGGACTGAGGCAGGGGTAAAGGCAGGCATAGGCTGGCAATGGGAGAAAGGTTGAGTTTGGGGGGTTGGGTTGTTTTTTTCCCCGATGGACCAAGGGGTTAAACAGGGATGTCTGCAGAAGGACAGGTGCCTGGAGGTTTAGCACTGTCCTTCAGCCCTGGCCAGGCCCCTGGAGATGGGAACCCATGGGGGTGACCCTGTTTGTGCCGGGGGGGCTCCAGGTCCCCAGGAATCACCTTGTCTCATAGGAAAAATCCTCCCGCAGCCCCTAGAGCCCATCCACCCACCACAGCAGCATTGGGGATGGCAAACAAATGAAAATGGATATACCAGGCCTGTCACTTGTGTCAATAATTTCCTTAAAAATCCTTAGAGACAAGAAGAAATTGAAAATGCAGGTGCTTTTGGGCAGGTTTCTGGTGAGCACAGGGAGGCTGGAGCAGCCTTCATCTGCCTGGTTCCCATGAGGGCTCTGACCACGGAGCTACAGAGCTAACTCTGTGTCCCCACTGTGACCAGCGGAGCAGGGTGAGAACAAGTGGTGTTTGTGGCAAAACTGGGGATAAGTTGGGATTTGACACCTGGCAGTGGCTTTCTGCCAGCAGCTAGTGGCCGTGGCACCTGAGCTGGGCTGGGCTGTCTGTCCGCAGAGCAGCTTCAATGCACCCCGACACAGTGATGCTGCTGGGGCTGTTG